CCTCGCCTCCCCCGGCGCGACAGGAACACCCCGGCGAAGCTCCCGGCGCCGGCCAATCAGAGGCCACGCTGTGCTTCCTCTTCCGCCTCGGCCCACCCCCTTAAAGAGCCCGCGGCGGGGCGGCCGTCGTGGGGCTGCTGTGTTTATGCATCTTATATACATTCCTACACGCACATATAGATCATACATATCGTTGGATGTTCGTATATTCCATTATAAATGTATATTATATATTCTGATAATTTATATTTTTTATAAATGGCATCTATTTTGGTGTTATGTTTTTGGGGTGTCCCGCCAGCCCCCAGGTGACAAACTCGAGTGTGCAGAGCTGTGGGAACAGGTCACCATTAGCACCGCACGGATACCAGGCCCCGAGCCGCGTCGCCGGCGATGGCCCCCTGCGAAAACGCGTGAGCCCCGAGCCCGGCACGCACGAGCCGCCAGCGTAACTCATGCTTCTAGTCCGTGGTTCTGGGAGAACATCCCGATGCAGGTCGTTCGTCAAACACACGACGTACTTGGGAACGAGCCTCGTCAGGGGGCAGTTGGCGCTCAGCACCTACCCGTCACTGTCACGCAGATGGAGGTGGTGCAGCTGACAGGCTCCCCGCGCCGACACCGAAGTCCACGGAGACGTGACGGGGTGCGAGGCAGAGATTTGGCCAAACACGTGAACGTTTGTCCTCCCCCTCACCGTCCACCTTTGCCCCTGCCGTCGCGCCACATTCCTGTCCGGAGCGGTCAGACCTCCTCCACCACGATGCTGGGAGTCAGGGTATTCCTACAGAAAATCCTGATTCTTCTGCACGTTACCGCATGCGTTGTTGTTGGCAAAACGCTGATGATACTGTTCCCTAATGCCATGAAAAGATATATCCTCAAGCAGGGCGAGAAGAGCAGGATGAATGAGAACCCGAAGTTTAGCTACGAAAACTGGGGTCCGACTTTCTTCAGCTTCAAGTATTTGCTCTTTGTGCTGAAGGTGAAGTGGAAGAGGCTGGAGGACGAAGCCCACGAGGGACACCCTGCTCCCAACACGCCGGTGGTGACTCTCAGCGGGGAAGTCCGTCACCTCCTTGATTTCCTGCGAGGTCAGTAAATCAGCCGCGTGGAGGGGCTGGGTTTGCTGAGACGGTAAATGAGGAGCAGAGGCTGCTGAGGGAGCAGGGACGGGCAGCCGGCGTGAGGGCGCGCGGCATGGCAGGCCAGACCGTCAGCATCAGAGGATGGAAAAGGTGCAGCACCTTCACTCCAGCTCTCTGCCTCTCCATTCTCAGAAATAACCTGGGCTTGTCATCCTGGCTCCACTCTCCCTTCACGCCAGTCAGCTTAGGAACCGCTTGCAAAAGCTGGCTCTGCCTGGAAACCCCTCTTCACTGAAAGCCAGGGTAATGATTTATTTTAGGGAGAAAATACCCAGAATTGGAACCGTGGGCAGGGATTCACGAGTGCTGGCTGTCGCTCCCTGTGCGTGCAGAAAGACCCACACCAGCTCCCTTGGCCAGCCCAAAGCCCAGAAAGCACACGGTGGTTTCTTCCAGATTCAAAGTGGCTACATTTTATATAAGTGGCTATATATTATTTCTATAAAGCAGTAAAAATAAGCATCTGCTTTGTACTTTGTCCGCTGCCTCCCACAGAGATCTCAGTAGAACGTGGAATTAATCATTAAGCTTCAGTCTATCCCCATGGGAGAGATTACGTCCTTCTCTGACTCTGCTTTTCTAATTTTATCTCTGTATTTATGTCGAAAATAGGATACAAATTTGGAAAAGAGATGCACGGTATCTACAGGAAGGTACCGCCTTTATTAGATTCGCTAGGGGTGGATCTATGCTAGCAGCAGTTTTTGAAGTTAAGCCTAGCCAGAAGGAAGATCTTGAACAAATTCCAGATAATTTAGCGTAACCACAGACTAAAAGAGGTGCTTAAACACCCTGCAAGTTCTGTGAGGCCGAGGCCTTGCAAACAGATGCAAAGACCTGTGGGCACATGCTGTGTTAATTTGTAAGCAACTGCATAGACCCCTTTGCCCGTGGCTTGTGTAACATCAGTTTAATAATGTACAACCAGAGCTCTGTTTGGACAGAAAATTGCAGAAAGACATCGGAAGCATGAAGCCCTGTGATGCACGGCTGGAAAGCCTGCAGCTTCCACTCAGCTCAGCTAGAACCGGCACCTCGGGAAAAATTCAAGCCATGTCCAATAGGTTCCTTAAAAGGCATCGGGACTCTGTGCTTACACGTCCATCCCGGGACCGCTGTCCTTCGAAAAACCTTGCCGATGACTGCGTTTAGTATTTTTTAAGTTCCTTCGTACTAAGGATCTTGGGGAGGCTGCGATGTGCTACCTGCTGGGTATGTTTTAGATCAGGTCCCTATCCCAAAATGCTGGTGAGAACTGGCTCTTGTGATGAGGACATGGGAGCAGCCCTGTGACCGCACGGTGCCTCCTGCCTTTACCAGGCTTTAGAGAGGGAAGGGTCCCCACAGTGAAGCTCATTGCTGGATCCGGTGCAGGTCAGAGCCAGGCTAGGGAAAAGAAAGCATCTTCATGCCTGTTTTGCATAGATGCAGATGCTCTGCGGCCGATTTTAATGTCCTACGAGAGTTACAGGGTAAGTGACTGACCTCCTGTTGCCCAGGAAACTGCGGTGGAGGCTCAATTCAGTGCATTAATTTCATTCTGTCCTCCCTCCCACCACCGAATGAACCACAAACTGTCCCCTTTTTTTCCAGATAACCGACCTTTAATCCTGAATTTTGGAAGTTGCACCTGACCTTCGTTTATGTTAAAATTTGATGAGTTCAACAGGCTCGTCAAAGATTTCAGCTCTGTAGCAGATTTCCTTATCGTCTACATCGAAGAAGCTCACGCAGTAGGTACGGTACAAGTATCGCAGTAATGCCTGCCAAAACACGTCAGACGTATCATTCCCTTAGGAAGAAAAGTGTGTTAGCAAAGGAGGGAACTGCAAACGGGAAGGAAATCTTCCTCGAATCAAAAGCAGCAACATCAAAGCTAGGGACCAGTTTGTGTCCCTAATTCTCCCAAAACTTTACTCACACATCTGACCGTACACCGAGGTACTGCTGCTGAAGACGCTCATTTCTGCACAGCTGAAGCAGAGTTCTGTCTTTGCAAAACTTCCTCTCAGTGCTAGTACAGCTCCTTTTGGGGGGCGGGGGGGGAGGCATTTCACAGAACAAAGGTTAAGTGTACAATGCCAGCATGTTACGTGCTTTACAAAAAAATAAATAATTTTTAACATGTCTCAAGAACAGGATAGAGACTCTAATTTGAAAAATGTAGCAAACAAACTATACACACTCCTTTATCTGCGCTGGACTGTAAGTAACACACTGGCACTGATTTTATCGCAGGGTTAAGGTGGTTTTCTAAAACGTAACATTTACACTTTTCAAGTTTTGTATCAATACATCACTTGCAGTAGCTGAGAAACAGATAATAGCTAAGTCAGTCATCAAACCCTTTTTACTAGTTTCTACTTTACTAGCAAGAGTGGTGCGCAAACGTGCGTTTGCGTATTTCTGAAACAGGAAGGCGTGCCCTGGCCCAAACGTTTCACTTCTCCCAGGTCTGAGGTTTTGTTTCACAGGCTGAACGAGCGGAACCCAGCAGGATGAACGGACCTGTCGTTGCGACTGCGCTAAATGAACGGGGATGACAGCACGACATCCCCTCCTGTGCCAGTAATTTGGACAAACCTTACCCAAAACACCTAAAACACATCAAGTATTTCCGAATCCAGGGCAAGGGCAAAATACAGTTTGCTGAAATCAAAGGAAAAAAAAAATAGATCTTGAGACCTATTTATCTGAAAAGCTCTAGCGCGCTCATACTCTGAGGAGGGGCTTTCATTTCGTGCCAAGTTTTGGCATTCAGAGTAAAGTGCAGTATTCTTTTGACACAGTTTTGGGATATAACACACAGTACATCTCCCCCCTTAACACCTATTCAAAATGTCCCTTGCTAAATCCCTTTCTCATTTGTTTTAGATGGTTGGGCTTTTAAAAACAATATTGTTATTAAAAATCACAGAAGCCTCAAAGATCGAAAAACTGCAGCACAATTTCTTCAGGAAAAGAATCCTTTATGTCCAGTGGTTTTAGACACTATGGAAAACCTGAGCAGTTCAAAATACGCTGCACTGCCAGAACGACTGTATCTACTCCAAAGAGGGAAGGTCATCTACAAGGTAAAAAATACCGACAATAATCATAATGAGCACAATATATTAAGTTTGTAAATTTCAACATAATTTGAGAATGTTTTATGTTGAATGGTGAGTATTGCAGTAAAAATTTCACAGTTCATTGTAACTGTGGAGAGAGAAGGACTTGCAGCAAAACCAGTCTGGGCCTTTATAACGTACATATTTGATGTACACCTCAGTCTTGCTCAAATATTTATCTTTTGGCTTGTCAGGAAACCTAGGTACAGCTAAGCTGCGAGATCCAGGGACGCTTTCTAGCTCCAGGATCCAGGCGTTGGCCCTGTCCCAGTCACACAGGAGGGTGTAACCTGTGCATACAGCGTCTCCCAGGAGATGGCTGCTGTGCAAAGGAAGCCCGAGCACACCTGCCCACAGTTCTGGTGCAACTGCTGTGCTCTGAAGGACTTCTGCTTTGCATATTTGAGCATCACTGTATCATTTTATTGCCTTTGCAGGGAGGAGTGGGGCCTTGGAATTATCACCCCCAGGAAATACGCGCCATCCTGGAAAAACTGAAATAGAAAAAGAGGAGGACTTCAGCGTAAAGACTATCTGGATAAAAAAAAGCTCAGTGAAGAAGTTTGTACAGACATAAGAAGGAAAAAACTTAAAAATAACAAGGAGAGAAAAATAACAAGAGACAACAGACAACAAGAATAATGTATGAGTATGTAAAGAGCATCTGTAATGTGGTTCATGATGTGTTTGTATAGAGATTTTCAAGTCTCATCACCACAACCCCAACTAGGGCCCTGCAGTGCCCTACCACGCTCCCACCACGTGCAGTAATGAACAGCAGTTGGGTCCGTTGGGTCCAGGACTGGATACCAACGTTTACATTTGTAAGGAATACCATGCAGGATAAACTTCAGGGGTGGTGACATCTGCAAGTCGACTGGCATGCAAAACAACCGATTTCACATTATTAAGATCCTCTTGTATGCATACAATTTTCCTAAATGTTCACTTTCACCGACTTTGGAAGGCTTCTGAGTAAGACAATCTTCTCTATCCGCACTTGTTTCTACTAATATTTGTTATGACGGTCATAGCACAAAGCGCAGACAGCTGTGACCTGATTGTAGAAAATATTTATAGAAACAAAGGATTGATCTGCAATTATTAAAAATCTACCAGAGCACTTCACACAGCTTCAAATTATTTCCCTCCCTGCCCTGCCCCTCTCCCCCCCAGCTTATCTCTAAGCATTAGTAGATGTTTATATTCACCCTATTAATCCTGACAGTTTGAGTTGATGAGAAAGTTACCAATTTAAGAACTTTTGAAGGATTCGTCTGACAGTAGGAAGTAATACCTCCCATTTAAGTATTTCACACTGTTTTTTCCTCAGAGTGCAAGGGAACCATTTTACAGAAAATCAAGTTTGAATTCATATATTAAGAAAGCCTGATATAAACATACTAATTTAAATGGACTCAGTTACATTCAAGTGTTCTAGGGTAACAGTCTAGGTTATAAAACTAGAAAGCTGTTACTACAATTAACAAGAGTTCTGCATCGTGGTTGGATTTGATCTTAAAGGTCTTTTCCAACCTAAATGATTCTAGTCCATCCATGCATTAAACTGGCAGGGAATACATACCACATCCACACCTTCAAAAAACACTTTAATACAAGGCTTTAGTAATAAATATTCTCTTCACTACAGATACGAAAATGTAACTTCTTTATAAAAAAAAAAATCGAGGTACAAATTTAAGCTGGACTTAAGTGTTTTCTGCTGTGCCCTCTGCCATCACCCGGTGCACTGATACAAAATGATCAAAAGCAGATTTGATGATGAAACGCAAGTAAGTGGCTTGGAAATCAGGAAGCTGTAGAAGGAAAAAAAAAATTATTGCATTCTCTGTAGTAACATAGCTACCAAACAACGTTTGCAGAAGTTTGTTAGACAGAAGGATCTACATTATTTCTGTGTCTGTTTTCAAACTGCACACATATCAAGCTCTTTTAATTCATCTAGCCAGCTTCAGAGATTCTTTAGATGGCAGCAGCTGAAAAAAGTCCCATCCCTCCTGAACACTGCAGCCAGCCTTGAAGGCAACAACTGAAGGAGGAAAGACAGCCACACTTGTGGAGAGAGCTCTTTCACACAGTTAGGAGCAGGAGGCAGGTGCATTTTCATACCATAATCTACAAAGCAGCAGTCGGGCAGTGCCATTTCATACCACGGTCTACAAATTCCTGTATCTAGCATCCACTTAGCAATAACTGTAAATAAAGACATGTTTGGTTTTTCATGGTTTTTCCCCAATTAGTCTACACAACCCACTTCATGAACCACTACTGATGTACGCTGTAAATACTCACTGAAAATTCTTCCATTTGAAGCTGTCCTTCTGTGTGTTGCAAATCTAGAAAATATATTCCAAAGCAAATAATGAAGAACAATGTGGAAAGCTGTGAAATGTTTTCACTGGACTTCAGAGTTCAAGAGAGTTTAAGGACTGTGAACTTGCATTGCATACAGAAATTGTGTCCCTCCCCCCAGGTGATTTAACAGAACAAATACTTTTTGCGATATCCCAGTGTGTGTGTGTATATATATCCCACTCATTGCACTGTTTCATAAAAATGTCACCCAAGAGGCATTACAAAAAAAAAAAAACCACACAGGCAATGGCACTCTATTATACTATGTAAGTCTGGTTTTAATTTTTTTGAGCACAAAAGCGAGTGCACAAGTAGTGCTTTTAGCCCTTATACAGCATTTTACACCTCCAAACTGCTCCAGAGACCAGCAGTGTTCATAAACTTCATTTAAATGTGACTATTAACATTAACGTCTAATGGAATAATCATCAAGCCACACCTGACTACTCAACAAATAGATATGGGGTCAAAATAACTCACTGAAAAAGATAACACTATTCCCACAAAATCCTCGCTGCTTCAGGTTCAGAATCTTACCTTTTTCAATGCACTCTTCAAAACCCACCGGGTCTTTAGATACGCTTCTTTCAATCCTTAAAGTCCGCACTAAAATATATATACACATTTAAAAAATCAACACAAATTCTGAGTCTTTATTGATAATGACATTTATTCCACCCCTTGTCATCTATAAAACACTTTAAAAGCATTAACCAATCCATTCTTCCCCTAATTGGTCTGTAATGCAGGTCTGCAATGCAACCACCACCCTCATGTTCCAGTTTGGACACACAATGACCAGTTTTCGCGTCTTTTGCGTAGCCGTCGCTAATGGTCAAGCTCCTGTCTCCATGCTCTGACCTTGCAATGGTCCTTTCTGGTTTAGAACTCGCATTTTCCTTCACATTGTTTAAAAAAGTAAGACTAAGAGATTCCTGTCATACAAAATTATACAAATCAGAATTCAAAATAGATCATTAAAAGAATAAGTCATGGAATCATAGAATGGTTTGGGTTGGAAGGGACCTTAAAGATGATCTGGTTCCAACGCCCCTGCCATGAGTACTGTAGTCCTGTTCAGTACATTAGAGCGGCCACCACTGTGCAACAGAAAGGTTAATGATAAGCTCAAAACAAAGTGTTATAAGAACAAATTAAGTGCAGGTGGGGTACATTTTCAATCTTGTTCTGATTTATGAAATACTTTGGAGGTGGAGGACGACTGCTTTGTGAAGTCAAGTCGTTATGAATGTGTTAAAAGTGGCACCTGACGGGACGCGCTGCGACCGTGAGAGCCCAGACCACGGCACGGCCACCCACTGTGGGTGACAGCCCGCGTCACCCGTGGCAGCGCGCGGCGCCTTACCCTGCGAACACTGGATTGCGACTCTGCTGATCCTCACGCGCGCAGGAAACCCAACGATGAGTTCCTGCGGGAACATGCCCGTCGTCGTCCAGAACGTTTCTGAGCTTCTGCAGAGAGAAAAAGGACAAAACGCCCCCCACCTGCGGCTTTCTACCCAGAACCACCTCGAAAGAAATTCATCCCGAACCTAACCCAGCCGCTGCGGCGCGTTTATTCGGGGTGTTTTAAGCACAGCCCTGCGTGACGCTGGGGGAGCTCCCTGCGGGTGCTCAGCGGGTCCCCCCGCAGGCCTCCCCCGCGGGGGGGGGGGGGTCCCAGAAGAAGAGCCGAACCCCGCGGCAAGGCGAAGGCCG